AATGTCAGACAAACCAGCTTAAAATTCTTTTTTTTAATATATGTTTTTTACTGATTTCACAGAGGAAGGGAGAGGGGGAGAGAGATAGAAACATCAATGAAGAGAGAGAATTATTGATCAGCTGCCTCCTGCACGCCCCACACTGGGGACAAACTGCCCTCCCAGGCATGTGCCCTGACCAGGAATCAAACCGTGACCTCCTGATTCATGGCTCCGTGCTCAACCACTGAGCCACATCGGCTGGGACACATAATTTTTATGTATATACAGTAGGTCCTCGGGTTAAGTCGGAGATCTTTTCCTACAGTGCAACATAACGTGACTTTTGCCGTAAGTTGGTACCCACCTACATAAGCACCTACACCACTCACATGGAGCACAGACACAGCAGTAATGAAGTGAAACAGTAAAAAAAATTAAAAGAAAGATAACAATTCCTGACCTTGTGGTAAATAAATAATAAAAAACAAAGCACATACGTACATACGTCGAAATGACGTAACTTTTTTTTATTTATAAATAAATGGGAGATGGCCACGTAACCACGAAACGATGTACTTCGAGTCTGACATAACCCGAGGACTATCTGTATATGTATTTTTTAAAATTGATTTCAGAGAGGAAAGGAGAGGGGAGAGAGAGAAATATCAATGATAAGAGAAAATCATTGATTAGCTGCCTCTTGCACACCCACTACTGGGGATTGAGCTCACAATCCAGGCATGTGACCTTGATCGGAATTGAACCCGGGACCCTTCAGTCCTCAGGCCGACGCTCTATCCACTGAGCCAAACCAGCTAGGGCCACACAATTTTTTTAAAAATCTTACTTTGGGTTACTGAGATTTGTACATGTGTGGATTGATCTTGATTTTTTCCCCCACTGTGAAAATGTTTTAATATCAAGGTAAAATGAGACCAGGGTTTCACATGCAAGTTTCAGGACAGAAACACCTATTTCTAAAAAGGTTTACTTCCTTTCAAAAGCCTAAAAATGAACACATAAATTTTAGGGATTGTTTTTAAATATCATGCATGGGACATGTCCCATTTTAATTTATCTGTACTTGACAAACATGAAAAAGTAACAGATTTCAAAATCAAAAGCCTCTAGTAGAAACATTCAAATTAAAAAGTAAGCATTTTAGCCTGGCTAGGTAGTTCAGTTGGTTGGAGTGTCTCCCGCACATCAAAAGGTTGCAGGTTGGAATCCTTGTCAGGGCACATACCTAGGTTGTGGGGTTCTGTCCTTCTATGAGAGGCAATTGATCTTTCTCCCTCCCCCTCTCCCTTCTTCTTTCTAAATATAGGGTGTCCCAAAATTCACGCAAGAAGTAATTTTGATAGAAAACACAGGTTTATAATTAAAAATTGTAAATTTTTATTGATTCATAAAGTATACAGGATAGGGTTATGTATGGACTAGCACATCGGGTAAATGGCCTCCACGGCTTTACTGGCACATACGCAAAGCCGTGGTCTTCATTGGTCTTCATTGTCCCTGCTCCTGGGCCATAATTGGTTCTTGGTAATGCTTATCAGATTGAAGGGATTGAAATCAAAGGGCAACAGATATTAGGATCTGATTCAGTAAAACAAGTAAAATTAGGCTTTTATTTTTTGTTGTTGTTAATGCTCACGCAAAATTCAAATCTTGCGTGAATTTTGGGACACCCTATATATCCTTGGGTGAAGATTTTAAAAAGTTCACTCTGGCCAGTTTTTCACAGTGGTTAGAGCGTCGGCCTGCAGACCCAAAGGTTGAGGGTTTGGTTCCTGGGCAAGAGCACATACCTCAGTTGCAGGTTTGATTCCCAGTCCTGGTCATGGCACAGTGGGAGGCAACCAGTCGATGTGTCTCACATCAATGTTTCTCTCTCTCTCTCTCTCTCTCTCTCTCTCTCTCTCTCCCCCCCCTCCCCCCATTCCTCCCATTCCTCCCTTTCACTCTCTCTAAAAATCAATGGGGGGAAAATCTTCTGGTGAGGATTAAAAAAAAAAATCAAGCATTTTTATTTACTTATTGGTTATAAAACCCAGCAAAAAAAACCCTGTCCTTTCCTCCCTCACTTCAGAAAACCACTAATTTCTTTCTGGGAATTGATGGCTTTAACAGTACTTAGCCCTCCCTGTCAGCATCCAGGTATCCCTGGTTTGATCTGTGTAAGGTCATGTTCCAGTTCCAGTTGCAGGAAATGCCCCACCATTTTTTTCACTACAATACACTGGCAGAGCAACGGCCAGCGCTGCACGGGGTAGGAAATGAGTCAGGAAGAACATAATGGCTTGACTGGAAAGCTAACTAACCATATGTCCTTGGTCTGCCGATTGAGGATATTAAGGAAATGTAAAATTCAAGGAGGAATTCTTTTTTCATCTTCTCCAAGTTACCAGCATGTTTATACTGGGAATAAATAATGGAGGAAGGTGAAAGCAGCCACACAAATGAAAACTCCCTAGAACTAAAAAAAAGCTAAACAAAATGCAAACTATAGTGGGCCAGATAACAAACTTTGGGGGTTTTTGTGGCGTAAGCAATCTCCAAACTGAAGTTCATAAATTAGGGAACAGTTTCAATGTACTAAGGAGCAATTTGCACAAGAATATTTTAAAATACTTTCTAAGAGTTGTCTGTGCTCTGTTGTTAGAATTTGGTGCCAAAAATCAAGAAATAACCAAACAAATAAGCCTCAAGTATTTTCTTTTTACTATACCCATGTCCAAAAATTACAAAGTATCTTTAACACAGTTTTCTCTGCCATTTCTCAAGTGAAACAATAAAACGGGGTAAAATATAATTGTAATATTATATAAGATAATTAACTTTCCTTCAAAAGCTTAATCTGTTCCCAAGTATTTCTGTCCAAAATGTGTAGGTGTAAGAGGGTGAACTTCAGCAGTTAAAATTGTGATCTCTGGAAACTCTTGAATGATTGATTTGGCACCATGAGGTGTGGAGAACAGACCAAGTAGGATGATAATACTGGGTAGAACTCCGTGTTCGATAAGAACCTTTACAGCTTCAGTTACAGTATTTCTAGTGCCTCTTCTCATTATGTTAGACACCACAATTTCCCTTCTGAAACTTCACTCCTTCCTACTGTACCCTGTCGGAGTGATCATCCTGTATTATATGGCAGCAGATCCAGTCCCTCTTCCACAGGTCTGGTCAGAAGATCCCCAGAAAACATGAAGTCCCTTCTGCTGGCTGCTTGTCCTAGATCTGCAGCTCCTAGATCTGCAGCTCCTAGATCTGCTCATTCATGGGTAGCAGCTCTAGCCGAACGATAGGTTGGCTGTCCCTTAGGAGGGAGTTGCTGGCTGATGAGTCAGTGCCATTGCCACTGTTGCTCTCAGGGCGGAGGCTGGCGCAGCCCCAGGCCTGGGAGCCCCCTCTACTGATGAGGAGAGTCACCTTGGCCTCGGCGTTAGCTCTCCCCCACCCCCTGCATGATCCAGGATCAGGTCACCAGGTCATGTTCAGGTAGAATTTACTTGTTGGCTGTGACAAGGCATGGAGTCCAGAACTGTAAATCCGTGGCCATATACCGGGCCCCAGGCTGTCCGTCGGATTGAAGTCTTGATTGATTTTGGAACATTCTTAGTTGTCATATCTTGTACAGCCTGAGTGGTGTTCTCCCACCCCCATCTGAGACTCCACTGACAGGTGCTAGGCCCTTGGGTGCCACATCTATGCTTTGCTCTGTTTTTCATTCTTCTTACTTTTTGCTGTTTCACCTTGGATATTTATCTTTTTTATTCATTCTCATCTGAGGATATTTTCCCATTGATTTTTAGAGAGAGTGGAAAGGAGGGCGAGAGACAGAGAGAGAGAGAAACATCGATGTGAGAGATACACATTGATTGGTTGTCTTCTGCATGTGCCCCAAACACAGCCGGGGATTGAGCCTGTAACCAAGGCATGTGCCCTTGACCAAAATCAAACCTGGGACCCTTCAGTCCACAGGCTGCCACTCCAGTCAGGGCTAATCCCATCTTCTGTTGCTCCTGCCACTGGGTTCTTCATCACAGATATTGCATTTTTCAGTTCTAAAATGTCAGACATTCTAACTGTTGAAATTCTCCATTATTGTATCTATTTTGTTCATGTCCTTCACTGTCTTGAATGTATACATTCTCTGATAACTCCAATTTCTTAAATACCTGAGTCTGTTCCTGTTTTCTATTTTTTCTCTTTCTCTAATTTTTTATTAACATTTTTAAATATATTTTTTATTGATTTCAGAGAGGAAGGGAGAGGGAGAGAGAAATAGAAACATGAATGATGAGAGCGAATCATTGATCAGTTGCCTCCTGTACACCCCCTATTGGGGATCGAACCCGAAACCCAGGCATGTGCCTTTGACGGGCATCGAACCCAGTACCCTTCAATCTGCAGGGTCTGAAAATTATGCTCTACCCACGGAGCCAAACCAGGTAGGGCCATGCTCTGTAATTTTAATTTGGATGCTGAACATTGTCGTGACAGCTAAGAGACAGGCGGAGGCTGCCCAGGTCAGGTTACCTGACCCTACACAGGTGCGGCCTGGGGACAAAGCTGAGTACTTCCGGTGCCTGCCACACGCGTGGTCCGGAGGGCAGAGCCCATAAGATCCTTGCACAGCTCATTGAGGCAAAGTGCCAGGAGGCCCCAAGGTGCCCCACCTGGGCTCAGTTCCACAGTGTGGCCTTCCCTGCTGGTGGCCATAGCCATGCTGCTCACCCACCTCAGGGTCCCCCACTGTTGTACAGCAGCAGCAGCATGAGGCCCCCGAGGTTACATGAAGAGGACAGAATTCACAGGGAGGCTCCCCAACCTACCCAGAGTCCCCCATGTACTATGGATGCCTCCTGATGGGGACTGTTGGGAGGCAGCAATTTCAGATGTAGGTGGGGGTCCCGGGCTCCCCTCTCACAGTGGGGGAACAGCCACAGAGAGCACAGTGCAGGGCTCAGCTACAGGGTCCTGCCGGCTCCGAGAGGAAGAAACAGCAGGTCAAAGCAGGTGTTTCTCTTCCTTTATTTAAAAAAATCATTTGGGGGGGGGGGGGTGGTGTGAGGAGGGCACACCTTTCATGGCTTCAGGGAGAACACAGTTTCCAGAAGGAATCACGGGCAGAAATACATGGGGAGAACCTGGGAGTAAAGGGAGGGGCTGCGCCCTCCAGCACCTCTGGGCAGAGCGCTTACTTGGGGGCTGGATGGGGTAGGGAGACAGTATGTACAGGTGGGCAAATGGGCAGGGCCCCCTGGGCCCCATGAGCCAATGGGGGGCGTGACCACGTGGCTGGCCCACATCACTGCCCCTCCCGAGCAGACCTGCTGAGGCCTGTGCCCTCAGCTGCAGGGCTGGGAGGAGCCTGGCAGGAAAGCTAACCTGTAGGACCTTGAGGGGTGCAAAACCCCCAGGGTCCTATCCCCTGGGGCTCAGGCCTGCATCCTGAGGCCCGAGCTCGGGGGGGCCTGAGTGCCCCAGTGCACAGACCAGAATGAAAGGAACAGAAGATCCCAATCAAACGCACGAGAGGTGCTCCCACACCTTACTCCTACCAGGTGAACAAAGGGGAATCGATGCATTGCCATGTGCAGTTACACAAACAAAATGACGGCCTACATGGTCCCACCGCCAGGCAGCCCAGAGCTGCAGGGGTGGTGGGTGGCACGCCACATCCAGGGGCTCCCCTCATCCCCGGTCCTGAGGGATGTCTCACAGCCCTGCCTGCCTGGCCACCTCCTGGCTCCTCTGAACAGGCAGCCACGCTCACCACCACAGAGACGCCCAGAAACGTGGCCAGGGGTAGACACAGTGTGGGGAGTCTGCCGGGGCTGGTGTGGGGCGGGGTGGTCCACTTGTCTCAGGCGGCTTCGAGCTGCTGACCTCACGCCCACGTGGGGCCTGGGCGCCTAGGTGTAGAAGATCACCTCTGGGATCTGGCCGTCCTCCACGGATGTGCCGTTGTTGTTCCCGGCCGCGTAGCAGAAGGTGAAGCATGTCTTGGCCCCCGTTGTTGGCGACTCGTGGGTCACCTTGCGCAGGCCTTTGGTGCCGTAGTGGGAGTCCGGGCCCTGTGGGGGAGGGGCCGTATTGTGATCAGGACACCCCTCCCCAGGACTGGGGCAGCCACTGAGCAGAGGGCAGGAGAGCCCCACAGAGTGTCTGCTGTGGGCCCTCAGGGTGGCAGGTCCTCCAGCCCCTCTGAGCCCCAAGCCATCCGAGGTGAATGGGGGCTCGGGGTCCTGGAGAGAAGACTCTGGTTTCAAGGTTGAGGTTAGTGTAGAAGGTCATGGCAGAATCCAGGGGTAGGGCTTAGGGGTCAAAATTAAGGTCAACATGGGACAGAATTCTGGTCCTGGATAGGGTTTGGGGATCAGAGTCAGGTTCAGATGTTGGGGTTGGGGTCTTGGATAGGGCTCAGGGATCAGATTTGGGGGTCAATATCAGGGTTAGGGTCCTGGATAGGACAAAATGGGGCAGTGAGATTTCATTATGTTATTCAAAACGGCACACCACAATTTAAAATGAATGAATTTTTTTTTGGAATTTTCCACTTAATAATTTTGGACCATGGACAACTAAAACCACAGATAAGGTGGGACTATTGTACTACCCAAACTAGAATTCTCAGCCGTTCAAAAACTAAACACAAAAGACAGATGAAGTAAAAAGAAAATGAATAGTGTTCAGGGATCAGAGTTGGGGTCAGAGTCGGGGTTCTGTGTGGGGCAGGGTCAGACACACCTTGAGCGTGGCACAGGCTGTGTAGTTGACGTTGGGCAGCACCTCCACCGGCTCCTTGAACATGACTCGGAAAGTGCTGGCGGAGCCGTCGCAGCTGAAGCCCGTGTCATTCTGGCCCAGCACCGTGTTGCTGTCTGTGTGGATGATCTGGATGTTCACTTGATAATCTGTGGGCCCGTGGATGGAGCCATATAGTCCAAAGCCAACCACAAAGATGCGCTTGTTGACCGAGAACTTGATGCGGTCACTTGTGCCGCTGTAGCCCCAGCGGCTTTCCACCTGCTGGAAGCGGTTGATGCTGCACTCCTTCCCACGGAGGCAGCAGCGTGGCCGGTCGATGAAGTCCACGCGGGGCTTGGGGTTGACGGTGAAGTCTGAGGGACAGGAACAGGTGCTAAACTTAACCAGAGGGCAGCAACCAGCCCGAGCACACAGGCATAGGGGCTTCCACCTTGGCGCTGGGGTCTGAAGACCTCCCGTGGTGGGGCTGACTCCTAGAGCCCCTTCCCAGGGCCCCCAGCAGCTACGCTCACTACCTCACTCCTGACAACCAGCTCCCTCATCCCATCCCCAGCAACCCTACCCAACATCCTGCGCCCAGGGCCAACCCAGTCCCACATCCACACCCACCTGATGCGGTCACTTGTGCCGCTGTAGCCCCAGCGGCTTTCCACCTGCTGGAAGCGGTTGATGCTGCACTCCTTCCCACGGAGGCAGCAGCGTGGCCGGTCGATGAAGTCCACACGGGGCTTGGGGTTGACGGTGAAGTGCAGGAAGAGGCTCACCACCTCGCGGTCCACAAGGATGCCTGACTGTGCAGGCCCTGCAGGCACAGGGGGCAGGTGGATCGGGCTGGGGTGGGGTCTGGCTTGAGGTTGAGGAAGGACAAGGTAGGGAAGGCTGGGGTGAACCCCAGCACACAGACACTGGAATGCATGGGCATCTCAAGTCCACAGCTCCTCAGAAGTCACGTTGGATTTTCTGCAAAATGTTAGGGCTCCAGGCAGCCCTGAGATAGGACTGTTCTGCTCTGGCACTTGGGGAGGGGTCGACGCCTACCTGGGGTTGATGCTTTGATTAGCTGGCTTATTGGGCAAAATGGCCCCAGGTCTTCCTGCCTGTACCAGGGCCACCCCTCAAGCCCACCCCTAGTTGACAGAACAGGTGGCACCTGCCTGTCCACACTCAGAGCCATCAGTAGCTAAAAGTGGTCTGGGGCAGCAGTCGCCAACCTTCCGGACCTCACGGACCACGGGTTGGCGACCACTGGTCTGGGGAATCCTGGCCAGGCAGCGCTGACAGACAGGGAGGTGACAGGATCTGCCTTAGACAGGCTGGGAGCAGGGAGGGGGGATTCCAGACAGCAGCTATGGAGGCCATATGCATACAAGGACAGGCAGGGCTGGGGCAGAAACCAGGGCCTGGGACCCTTACACATGCCCTGCTCATCGCTCTTCCACCTCCAGGTCAGAAGGCAGGACTCAGGCCTCAAGCTCTACAAGAATGACTTATTTTCTAACTCGGAATCCATTTCTGCAGAAGGTTGGCCGCAGCACCACTCACAGCTCCCACAGCCCACCACATAACAGAGACCTTCACAACGGGCTCAGCACACCTATGGATCAGTGAATAAGGACGATACAAGACTGAACGCAGCATGGTGACCACTGGTTTTTAATCTCTGCATAGGAAATGCAGAAAGAGAAATACATCCAACCTCCACCCATGCAGCCAGAGGGGATTCAAACGTCTGCTGTGTTTTCCAGTGGAACATAAGCCGGGGATTCTCTGAAACAGAGGGACAAGGGCCGGAGCCTGTGGGGCCCACGGCAGAAGGAGGGCCAGAGGCCCAACTCCAACACAGGACAGTCATTCCCAGCGCTTTCACGCTGGGGGGCGGGGGGTGAGGGAATGACCTTCCAGAAAGTGGGTCCTGTCACAGGGCCTGAGACCTGGGGGCTCTGGCAGCCAGCTAGGCTGGGGGGTCTTGAGGAAAGTGGCTTTAGGGGTGAAAGCCAGTCTAGAGGGAGGTGTCTTGGTACGGGACAGTCCAATGCTGCAGCAGGGGTCTCTCAGGGGACACCAGGCGAGGTATGAAGACATTTGTGGTGGTTATGACTGGGGGGTGCTCCTGGCCTCAAGGGGATGGGGGCCAATATGCACTGGCCACAGGCCTACATCACAGAGCCCCATCCAGAGCCTTCTAGGCCTGTTTGGCTCCAAGGCTAAGGCTGGCACCAGCCAGGAGACTGACATTACAGGGAGGCCCAGTCCTGGGGGATGGGGTTCCAAGTCAGCTGCTCAAATGGCCCCAAGATGTGGGCATCCACATGGGGTAGGAGGCACAGTCAAGGCCACCACATCAGCCCAGACCCCAGACCCTGCAGCAGGGTCACCACAACCCTGGCCATTTCCCACCCCTTCACAGGCTTGTCAAGGACACGGAAGCTGGAGCCCAGCCCCCGGGATGAGAACCCAAGACAGGGACCCTCAGTGGCCGGTACACACACACACGTGTGTGGACACAGGAGACACAGCGGGAAGGAAACATCGAGATGTGGGATGGCTGCATGACATCTGTGGGTCGTGCTGTGTTTATACATTTGTGAACAGTCCGAGCTTCCCATCAACATAAAGAGCGTCCTTAGCACAGAGGGGCACACTGTGTTCCTGGCGGGGTTCTCGGGCCGACATATGGCTGGTGCCAGACCCGGGGGGACATGCAACTGAGTCACATTCAGGGTCCTGGGAGGTCACGCCCCGCCGGAGCGGCTCCTGCTCGCCCTGAGCGTTACCTGCGGCGAACTCCTCGATGGTCATCAGTGGGTGAGGGCCAGTGCCTTGCCCAGGACCTTCCGCTTATTCTCAGGTGTCACCTGCAGCTGCTGACGCTGACACTCGGCCTCAGACCAGCGGACAACAGCGCTGAACAGGCGCACCTCACGGATGCCCAGCGTGTCCCGCTCCAGGACAGCCACCAGTGTGTCTGCGGGGGACAGGGGGGCCACATCAACGTGGATGCCATGGTCTCAGCCAGGGAGGGTCGTTGGCACACCGCACAGCCTCTGCTTATGCTGGTGACTGAGCTTTCACCGGCTCGTGGCCACGCCCATCCTCCATCCTGTCACTGACAGCAGCAGAGTGGGGTGGACCAGGCAGAAGCCCTCTGGCCCGCACCACCTGGGCCTCTGCAGGGGGAGTGCCCACCCTGCCTTCAGAGGGTGGAGCCCAGGAGATGAGGTGACCTCTCCCAGGTGCCCACAGGCCTTACCCAGGTCAATATCCGTGAAGCCCTCTGCGGTGATGGCGTCGGCCGTGTTTTTGTCGATGTTCTCCAGGCACAGGCTGGCAAGCTGTGGTTCGTCAAACAGCCGGGCCTACGAGGGACAGCACATCAACAGCCAGCCCCGACACAGGATCCAAGACAGATTTCCTGGTTCAAAACTTGTCACAAATTTCAAGTCTTAGGGCCTGGGTGCCCACACACTGTCAACCCCAGAGGCCGGGAGATGTTTTCCAAGTTTACAGACTTACGTAACCACTGCCTGGGTGGAGGGTCCAGTGAAGGAAGGACCCTGCTGGGCCGGTAATGGTTCAGGGATGGAGGCAGAGGCAGCAGACAGGGCTGACCCCAGGGAGGTGGGCCCCCGGGGAGAGGACCACACAAAAGCGCTGTGCCCCTGCCCATCTGAGATGGTTCCACCAGGAACGGTACACAGGGCAGGGGGCCAGGGAGGAGAGAAGATTCTGACCACTTCTGCCCAGGAAGCTAACCCCTGTCTAACCGGTTCTCCGCCCGGGCCTGGTGAAGACACTCCACATGGCCCACATCTCAGCAGATGCCTGGGAGTAGGCCCCACACCACAGTTCTGACCCTGGCAGTTCAGAGCGACTCAGTGAGTAGCTAGCTGGTCAGGGCCCGGGCCCAGGTGCCACCTCAGCAAGGGATTTGCAATCTAATTTGTCTGTGACTCAGCACAGAGAGGGCACCCCCCGCACCCCATGCTCTCCTGTGCCCAGGCCTCCTGGTCCCCTACAGCCCCATCAGCCCACCAGAGCCAGCTGACTACACAGAGCCCAAAAGGGACCTTCTCAAAAAAACATGAACGCCTTCCTCCCCTCACCTGAGCCCCTGAAAAGAGGGCAAAGCTAGTGGGAGCCCTGCCTGCCAACAGGCTGCCAAGGCACCGAGAAACTCACCTAGAAAACTCAGGAGGCCCCCAAGGCAAAGGGATGGGGTACTCCCAGGGCATCAACGTCCACCCACCCACCCTCTGCGCCCCAGCCGGGCTCCTGCACCTGAGTCAGCAGCATGAAGGCGTTATCCGCCCGCAGGTTCTTCTTCAGGAACTCCACGCAGTGGGCCTCCAGGGCAGGCACTGCGTACTTCTTGGCGGTGTACAGTGTGGTCATGACCGTCTCGGGCCCAATCTGAACCTCATCCGAGTAGAGAAACTTGAGTAGCGCCAGGAAGGCAGCCGGCTCCACGTCGGGCAGCTCAATCTCAGGGCCCTAGGGACCTGGTGCCATCAGCCCCCCTGCAAGAGCCTCCAACCGGCCTCCAGCCCGCTGGGCTGGCCCCGAGGGACCTTCCAGAACCAGCATCTGCTGCCCTCCGACCTGAAGACATGACCCAGCAAAAGCCATTACCAGTGAAACCAGCGAGAAGCTAAACCATCCACACGCCTGCACGGGAACATGTCTACTGCAGGCCTGTGCCTTTCCCGTACGGACACCAGGGCTGAAGGCCAGCACGGGTTTGGCGGGGACACGGGGACATCTCCACATCACCCAACCTGTACAGCTGGCCTGACAGCACAGCTCAATGAGGTCTGGACGAATCACAGACTCTCGTGGACACTACGACCACCTGCCATTGGCCCAACTAAATGTGGGTCAGAAGTGAAGGTCGACAAAAATAAAATGGTGAGGCCATGGAGACATCAGAGTCCTGTACATGGCAGGTGTGCGTGCAAAATGGAGCCCAAACACAGCCCAGCAGCTGGGGCCCATGGGGTGGAGAGACCTGCACCCCAGGAGGCAGGGAGGCTGTCAGTACCCCATGGCACCCAGGATGGCCTCCCTCAGAGTGGCCCACCCCAATGTCAGCAGTGCAGAGGGGACAAACCCACGGACCAGTGAGCCCCTCACACCAACAGTGATGGTGCCAATCCTCTCAGGAGGCCACTGAGCAGTATTCATCCAAACGAGAGAAAGAGACAGACGGAGAGACAGGGACAGTCAACCCTCAGGCAGGGTTTGGCAAACTGCAACCTGTCACCTGCTTTTGTTTTTTTATTTTTTTTTATGAATATCTCTACTTATTTTTGTAAATATATTTTTATTGATTTCAGAGAAGAAGGGGGAGGGAGGGAGGGACATCAATGATGAGAGACAATCATTGATCGGCTGCCATCCTGCATGCCACCTACTGGGGATCGAGCCCTGACCGGAAATCGAACCCATGACCTCGTTTCCTGGGTCGATGCTCAACAGCTGAACCACACCCGCCAGGCTGTTTTCTGACATTTTATTTATTTTTTTTTAAATATATATTTTATAGGGACCTTTCAGTCCGCAGGCCGACGCTCTATCCACTGAGCCAAACCGGTTTCGGCTGTTTTCTGACATTTTAAACCACTAGGCTGTCCATTCTGTTCCCTCAGTTGAGAAGCATCAGAAAGTCTTACTTGAGTAGCGCCAGGAAGGCAGCCGGCTCCACGTCGGGCAGCTCAATCTCGGTGGACGTAGTAGCCATGCCCCCATTGAACATGGCATCAAAGACAGCACTGCCCACAGCCAGCACGAACCTAGAGTGAAGAGCAGACCTGGTTACCCTCCGTGTGGCCCACCTAACCCTGTCACCCAAGCCTGGGGCTGTGGAAAGAAGGGGTGGGGATGTGTAAGGCAAGTGTCCCCACCAGACTCTCCCCATGAGGTGTTATCTCCAGGTCTGCAGGGCTCCTGTATCAGACCCCTTTCCAGGATCTGCAGGCAAATGCTGGGCTCGGAGCAGCCACCCGACTCAGAAGCCTCCAAAGTCCGCAGACATCACAGAGCCGGTCCCACATCGCACCTCCCGGCCTCTGCTCGGTGCCTGGGTCGCCCTTCCCATAGCACCGGCCAAACCCTGCCTTAGACCAAGCTGAGGCGGGATGATGGACCAGAGGCTCACCCCACACAAACAGACACCATGCCCAGGGCATCCTGGTGGCAGATGCTTCCAGAAGAAAGGCATTGCAGAGCAAGAGGGGCATTCGATGGACCAATAGCAAATGGAGGTGAAATCATGTCCCCCATGGCAGACGGCTTAATGCCTCTGCCAGCTCCCTCCTCCGTTCATCCATTCACTCAGTTATGCACACATGCACTCACTCACTCATTCATTCACTCTCACTCGCTTACTTTATACACATCTCCCCTGTGCTCGGGCGTTGGGCACCAGGGCCCCCGCCTCCTTGGAAGAACGCAGACACAGGTCAAGGGCACAGACGGCCCGATAGTGAACTAGAAAGAACGCAGACACAGGTCAAGGGCGCAGACGGCCCGATAGTGAACTAGAAAGAACGCAGACACAGGTCAAGGGCGCAGACGGCCCGATAGTGAACTAGAAAGAACGCAGACACAGGTCAAGGGCGCAGACGGCCCGATAGTGAACTAGAAAGGAGAGGAACGCAGGGCGGTGAGGGGCGTGAGGGTCAGGAAAGGCCTGGCAGGGACAACTGAGCTCGCTGAGTGGGTGGGGCAGGGCGTCGAGGTCAAGGGAATGGCAGGAGCACAGGCGGCAGTGGCTGTGAGGAGACCTGTAAATGCTGCTGAGAGGGACTCACCCACTCCAGCCTCCTGCCTGGGTCTTCAGCTGTGAGGACCCAGCCAGCCCTCCAGCCAACTGTGAACCCTTGTAGGACCCATCCACGGGGCCAGAGGATAAGGGTGTGAGACCAACTGAGGACAGTGCCACCCACTCTGTGCTGTCCATCCTCTGTCCGCAGGTCCCAGCCCATGACAGCCTCTCCCCAGGGAAGCAGAGACCACTCCGGAGCCAGAGCTGGCGGCCGGCTCACTGCAGAGCACCTATCTCCAGCTCTGCAAAGCTCCTGCATCAGACCCCTTCCCAGGATCTCCACTGTGGCAAATGCTGGGCTCTGAGCAGCCACCCCAGTCAGAAATGTCCAAAGTCCGCAGACATCACGGAGCCAGGCCCACATCGCACCTCCCGGCCTCTGCTCGGTGCCTGGGTCGCCCTCCCCTAGACCGGGCCGAGCCCTGCCTTAGACCCACCCGGGGCGGGATGCTGCGCCAGAGGCTCTTCTCTCCCACTGTCTGTCTCAAGCTCACATCACGGGAGATGGGACAGACAGACATCAGGAGCCTCCTGATATGGCACACATCACTGCTTCACATCCACAGACACAAAGGGGATGAAATAGAAAGATGGAAAAGACGTGTCCAGTAAACGGAAACCGGGAGAGCTGGTGGGGCTGTCTTAACATCAGACAGAAAGGAACAGTTCACGGGAACAGGGGCAGCCACCAGGACCAGGTAACGATTATAAACGCCACACAGAGTAACAGAGCCCCACAGCACACAAAGCAGAAACAGTGCTCAAAGGAGAAGAGCACCTGGCCGGTGTGGCTCAGTGGTTGGGTGTCAGTCCATGAACCAGGTCACAGTTCGATTCCCGGTCAGGGCACACGCCTGGGTGCGGGCTTGATCCCGGGGCGGGGCGGGAGGGGGGGGCGGGGTCAGCCGATCAATGATTCTCTCTCCCTCTCCCTTCTTCTCTGAAATCAATACAAATATTTTTAAAACATTTTATAAAAGAAGGAATCAATAAAAGCGGGAGCAGGGATTAAGGAAATTAAATGGGAAAATGAAGAAAACCAAAATTGTTGTTCTTTGAAGAGAAATCAATGACTAAAACTTGAGTTGCACTGGCCCAGAAAGAAAATGTGACACAAGTTACCAAACTCAGGAACAAAAGAGGGACCATCATTGCAGACCCAAAAGGAAAGGATTTTAAAACAACTTCATGGCAACCAATTAAGACAACTATTTCCTGGAAAGACACAACTGCAAACTGACTCATGAGGAAAGATAAAATGTTCCGTCCAAGAGAAGCCCAGCTCAGATGGCCCCACGGGGGTTCTAGCAGGATTTTGGAAATGCCACCACCACACGCACACGCTGCTCTGGAAACTCATCCACAGGCACAGGGCCCCACCGAGCCCTCGGCCCTGCAGGGCGGGCGATGGCGTGGCTCCTTGGAAAGGCGGTCTCTTACAAGGTTAAAGGTAAGCGTTAGCCTGTGATGCGTCTGTCCACCCCGGCATCTGCCTAAGAGAAGAGGAGCTGTATCTCCGCACGGATCTGGGCACGCGGGTTCACGGCAGCGTGTCCCTGACGGTGAAACCCTGAAGCAGCTCACACCCGCACTGGTGACGGACAAATGATGGTCCCGCCACACAGGCGTTCGGCAGGAGAAAGTCATTCTACTTTAGCAAGAAAAAGAAATGAGCCACTGAGACACACGACGGCTGGATGAATCTCAACAGCATTCCACTAAAAGAGCAAAACCAGAGACAGAAAGTGGAGGGGTCAGCAGCTGCCTGGGCTCGGGATGGGAGTGGGAACCTTTTGGGGGGACAGGTGCTCTAAAGCTGGGCTGTGACAGTTGACAATCATATAAACTTTCTACACAGTCATCAGATCAAATAACCCAAATCCAGCAAAACACTTGATAATACCCCATACCCACAATTCCTGAAAGCTGAGTAAACAAAGAATAGAAAGAAGGTTCCAGACCTTGTTAACAAGAATTTGTGGGAAACCAATCTTGGGGCTCACATGTAACTGAAAATCACTGAGACTGCTTTGCTGTCACCCCTGCGATGGAGCAACACCCTGGGGGTCCGAAGCGCAGTAAGAACCGAAAAATATAAGAGGCAGAAATATGAAAAGGTGAGAAACGATTTGCCCATAAAAATTATTCTATAATTTAAAACTCTAAGCCTGCACTGCCAATGTTTTCTACTGGCCACACAAGGCTATTTAAGTTTAAATTAAAATTAAAGTAAATAAAAGGTTCCATTCATGGGCTGCGACAGCCACACTACAAGTGCGCAGGAGCCACCTGTGACTAGTCCCGGAGAGCACAGATCTAGAACATTCCCCTTGGCACAGAAAAATCTACTGCATGGGGCCAGACCAAAGTTCGCTACGCAATTAAGAACACCAAGAGAGTTTGGAAAGAAATCATTCAAATCACATAAAAATAAAGATGCCCTAAAATCTATAGCTTCCCAGCAATAATCAGATAGAAAAACATAATAGAGAAAAAAATATTCATAACAGAGAAATAAAAACAAAACACCTAAGCAAACACTCAGCAATAAATGTGCAAGGCTATACAATGACGAAAACGACAAAAAAATTTTTAATATAGTACTTTTTTTTAATATACTTTTATTGATTTCAGAGAGGGAGAGGGCGAGAGATAGAAACATCAATGATGAGAGAATCATTGATTGGCTGCCTCCTGCAGGCCCCCCACTGAGGATCGAGCCTGCAACCCGGGCATGTGCCCTTGACCGGAATCAAACCTGGGACACTTCAGTCCACAGGCTGACGCTCTATCCACTGAGTCAAACCAGATAGAGCACGACAAAATTTCTGTAAAGACCCCTGAATAAATGGAGAAAGATATCATATCCCCAGATATACTCCATAGTTTAACTATTAGTTCTCCCCAACCCAGACCAGTTCTCCACTAAATTGCTTCAGCACTTGACGATTCTCAAGATCATTAAGGAACAACTAGACCAAGGGCCAGCAAACTCGGCCCTCCACTTGCTTTTGTAAATAAAGTTTTATTGGAACACAGCCATGTTCATTCATTTATGTGTTACTCTTTTTGCGTTGTGAAGGCAGAATTAAGCAACTGGGATGGAGACCATGCATCCACCAAAAACATTTACTATCTGGCTCTTTACATATGTCTGCTGCGGCTGTGCTAAAAGGTGCGTTCCACAGGGCAGAGACGTTTTCTGTGAGCATCGTGCTTCAGTGGCTGTGGGCTGAAGGGATGAACCGAGGGGTGGCTGATTCTGGAAGAGCCCATATACTGGACCAGCTGGAAGTCTTGACACAAAATAACATCGGGAAGAACTTCCTCAGCATTCCCAAACCACGCCACGGAGCCACTGTCACAGAAAAAGGCATCACTGGGCTGAGAACACAGAAGCCGATCAATGCCACGAAAGAAACCCCAGACACATTCTAAATTCCTTGGCGTGGCCCTAGCTGGTGTGTCTCGGTGGATAGAGTGTCAGCCTGCAGACTGAAGGGTACGGGGTTCAATTCTGGTCAAGGGCCCATGCCCGGGTTGTGGGCTTGATCCGCAGTAGAGGGCATGAGGAGGCAGCCAATTAATGATTCTCTCTCATCAGTGTGACGTTCCCATCTCTCTCTGAAATAAATAAAAATAGATTATAAATAAATAAATAAACTCCCTGGCGTGGCTACATTTGCCATCAGGTTGATTTTGTGGGACCACCAGACTAGTATGTCCACGAATGTGCTACCCTGCAGACATTCACTATTTCCTCAGAGCAAGTCCTGAGAGAGAATTACACATTTTATTCTGGCAGGTAGGGCCTACCTGTATTTATTGAATACCTACTGTATGCCAACCATTCTCCTGGGCACTTGGGAGGCAGAACAGAAGGAGACAGGCAAAGCCTTGCTCACAGAAAGCCAAGGACAACATAATATAGACTTCCAGCTTTGGAAAGTTAGAAGGAAAAAGAGCACATGGGGTGACGGGGTAAGGGCTACAGAGCTAAGCAGAGCAGGAGACAGGACATGAGCTTATCCAGGGCCAGGGCCGGCCCGTTCCACTGTCACAAATGCCAACTACGGTACCAGGGCCCCAGGCCCAACTGCACCCAGAGTTCAGGGGCCAATCTGAACCCCAGCCATGACCACCCTAAGCTGGGACCTGGGAGCTGGTGGGCCAGTCCACACCTTAAAATTAGTCCCTCTCTTACTGCTTTTTATTTTTTTTATTATTTTTCAAAACATATTTTTATTGATTTCAGAGAGGAAGAGGGAGAGAAAAATATCAATGATGAGAGACTCACAGATGGATTGGCTGCCTCCTGCATGTCCCACACTGGGTATCGAGCCCACATCCTGGGCATGTGCCCTGACTAGGAATCGAATCGTGACCTTCTGGTTCATAGGTCAACACTCAGCCATGGAGCCATACAAGCCCTTACTGCTTTTTAAAGTTCACCTCAGCTTTGTCCCTAAGTCACCAGTTCCAACACCAATGTTCTCCTGCCCCAGGACCCCTTCCCGGATCCATGTGGCAGGGAGTTGCCCCTTGGGCTGCCCAGGCTCCCCCTGGTCTTCATGCCCTGGGCAGTCTGGAGGAGCAGGCTGAGTCCTGCAGACCTCCCAGCTGGGCTTGCTGTGTGTTTCCTCCTAATTAGAATAGCCTGGTTCCCTGAGGCTGCTGCCCAAAGTGCTGCGAACTGGGATTTACTCTCCCAGTGTGCAGGCCAGACTTCCAGACTCAAGGTGTCACAGGGCGACGTTCCCTCCAGGGGCCCCAGGAGGGTCCCATCCTGCCTCTGCCAGCTTCTGGGGGCTCCGGTGTCCCTGGGCCTATGGCCACTTCCCCGTCTCTGCCGCTGTCCCCACATGGCTGCCTGCTGCCTCTCCTCAGGGCGTTGTCACCGAGGTTAGGGCCCTCTGGGGCCAGGAGCTCATCCTGAGACCCTCACTTACTCACATCTGCAAAGTTCCTTTTCTAAATAAGGTCCCAACTACTGGTTCTGGGATGTGAACCAATTAGGATGTGAACCTATCTTCTGGAGGGCCCACCACGAAGCCCACTGTATCAGGGCTACAGTTTTGGGGGGAAAGCACAACCAGGTGAGGTGCCCCTCTCATCATATCCCCTCGGGGTCCCTGACACACACACAACAAACATCAGCCTGCGATGGACCCTTGACCACCTGGCTGAGGAAGGGTCCACTTTCTACTCAATTCTTTTTTTTTTTAAGATTTCTTAGAAAGGGAGAGGAAAAGAGAGAGAGAGACATCCACCAGCTGCCTCCTGCACGCTCCCTACCAGGGACCGAGCCTGCAACCTGAGCATGTGCCTTGACTGGGAATTGAACCGGGAACCTTTTGGTGTCCGGGATGATGCCAAACCGAGTCACACCAGCCAGGGCTCCACTAGATTCTTTACGTCAGGTCCCCAACGCCAGCCGCTCAGGAGGGGGGACGAGGCCCAGCCGGAGGACGCCCCCACATGACCAGGAACTCTCCAGACCAGTCTTCTCCGCGCTCACTCGCACGTGCTCTGGTCGCTCTCCATCAGTGTGGCTCCAGGACGCTAACTCTACACTGGGTCATGCCCCTGCCTTCATCTAAGGCCCCGGATCCTTAGAGCAGCGGTCACCAAAACGGCAGTCCGAGGAACACGGGTGGCCCGTGAGGTCCGAAAGGCTGGCGACCGCTGCCTTAGAGGAGCCACGGGCCACTGTGACAAGCACATGGCTGGGTCACAGAGTCAGTCCTCCCAGCAGCTCAGGACAGAGGCGTCTGAGTGGTCGGTCCCAGTTCACAGGTAGGGAAACTGAGGCACAGTGAACCCAGGGTCACTCACTGGGCCGTCATTCACCTGACACGGCAGATAACATTTTAACAAGTTGTATGAAATAATAAACAAAAAACTAAAAAGAAAAAGAACTAGAACCTTCCATTGGGGGACCCATCGAGCAGGGCATCAACGCCGGGGCAATAGGACAAGAAAAGTGCCATCCAGACTTCAAGTACACAGGGTCAGGGAGCTTTCAGGCCCCGGGGGGACTGGCATGGGTGCCAGGGAAGCCAGGCAGAGAGCCTGGGCGGCATGGCACTCGGGAGGCTACTGGCATGAGAAAGTGACAAATCCAGGGGGTAGGCCAGTCTGATGGCAAACGTCGGGATGCAGGCATGCACCCCCGCACCAGAAGAGCCTGCACCCCACTTTCAGGACGGCTCTCTGCTGTCATTCCTAAGCATCCCTCCTGCTCTGTCCACATGACCCACCCACTCCCGTCATCATGGAGCCCTGCACATCACA